CACAGGTAACTAGCACCTGATGTGATCGAGGCCAAATATCCCACAGCAGATGCATGATATTTAAAAATCACTGGGAATTTTTTATTTTTGTGGGATTTCATCAAGTTCATTTCATCAGAGGATTTCTGTTCCCAGGCAGTATTTGCCAGGGTAGCTGAGGAAGACATGGTATTGATCAGGGCAATGTGTAAAGCAGATTACCTTTCAGATCAAGAAAGGTGACCACCATCTGTCAAATTTGTCGTTCCATTACAAAGATTTGACATGTGACTTTTCATGCTACATTTCTAAATCACAGACACCTCAATGCATTTCCAAAGCCTCAATGGGACTATAAATATATCTGGCAAGTAGGCATGTCCGTATCTCATGTGTACATATTTACAGCCACATGCATACACACAGTGTCTCAGTGATCTACTTTCATGCTTCCTATCCTTTGTCTTGCGATACTTGCAACGTATTAAATATATTGCTTCAGATCAAGATTTTCTGCTTGCTGTTGTAAGGACAGCACCCTATAACGTATTGTAGAGTGAATAAATCTAGGACTATGCAATAAAACTACTGTATACTTGACAAAGGAGCTTGCCATTGACTCACTGATTTAAAGTCACAGAGCACATACAGTAAGACTCACAGGACTCAGTCGAATAACTGGATGTCTATGGCTTAAACTCACAAGAAGTCAAGCTCTGAGCTTCAAGACTCCTGTACACAATTGCCAGTGAGCATCTTCAGTAGAGACAGGGGATAAGAGACTCCAGGAAGACTTGAATGCTTTAGAAAGTCTCTGTCACAGGATGTGTAGCAGGTCAGCCACTGTCTAAAGGCACATAAATGTCTCAAGGAATGGTGGAGGCTCTGTGAAAGACATGTAGAGAAATCAAGTCTACCTAGTTCAAGGGAGTGGCAAGTCCTCAGAAAGGTCTAGTGTAGTGTATAGCTACGGAGGGTGTAGTGTACAGCTATACAGGGACACATACTTTATCTAAAGTGCTTTTGTGCTTATTAAACAACACTTCGATTGAGGAGGTCAGTGTGGTCTCTTATGACCAGCATTATGATTCCCTGAGGAAAAAGAAGTGCAAGGGACCAACACAGAAGCGCTCATCTCAGTACTGGGGGACAGTCACACCGGGTCTGGGAGAAATGCAACTCTGCTTAGAATCGATGACGGCTCCTCGCCAGGGGCTCCTGATAGGCCATGCCTTTGCCATTGCTCTTGGGAGCACCTCCCAGTTCTCAGATCCAGATCCTATCATCTGTGTCCTCACTTCACTGTAAGAACGCAGATATGCCCTAGTCCTCTCGCCCTGACACCCAGCAAAATCTGGACATCTCCACAGAAGGTAGTATCTGCTCCACTGGGACTCTGATCTGAAGGACTGGGGGACCAGTGCTTCCCAGTAGATCAGACATAGCCAAAGAGACAAGAAGAAGGCAGACTTCTCTTTTCCCTCTGCCTGTTAACTCTTAAGAGTCCTGTCTATCCTTCTGCTGTCCTCTTCCTACCTTAATGCTACCTAAACGCGCTTGTGCAGCTGTGAAGCTGAGCAGGCACCAGAGGGATAAAATGGAGATGGAGCTTGTGAGAAGCTGAGCAGGCAGTCAGAAAAGAAAAACATACGCCCTTACAAAGAAAAACTTACTTTAGCATTGAAACCCAGAATTGCAGAATGGAAGTTAATGGATTTATAAGGATTTTTATTAGCCAAGAACCTGGCCTGTCCATTTCCCATTCTCAAGTTGCATGTGGTTATAAGCTAAATACTGCAACTTAATTCACTGTTTTTGCTCCTTGATTCATAGTTGATATCACATTTTGGTGTAGTCTATTCTGGTTTGGTCTGCTAATTAGTTGCTGCAGCTGCTGCACAAAGACAGCCAGAAAATAGTCTATGGTGCAGTGGCCAGTTCATATGGCTGGAATTCATGTGACTTGGGCTCTCCTTCTGCCTTTCCAGGACATATTTTGTGGTCTTGGGCTCCATTTCTGCTTGGGTGTGCATTTGCTGATCCTTGATATAGGATACACCTGAGTGAAGCACTACATTCATGTGAAGTGTTACTATGATAGGCCACAAAGGTCTTAATTTATCTCATGGCCAAGCTAATATTCAGAAGATACATTGTGGGCCAGATTCTGCTGTAATATATATTCTCTGCAGCCTTACCTCTGCAACTGGTGCGGTGTAAGTCAGAGTACTACTGCCTCAGCATGGTAACAAACTAATTGGTTAAGTCTGCTCTGGAGTCTGTGCATCAGTCTGCCCACCAATAACAATATCTAACAATTTTCTGCTACTAATTGCAGACTCGGAGGTTCCAAGCTGTATTTAAATAGGATATGAACAAACAGTTCTGAGCCACATTAATTCCTGGTGCAACTCTAATAAGGCTGGCAGAACTATACCTGAGATAGATTTGATCCCAAACAATATGTCAACAGTCAATCTCTCAATATGCTTGTTCATAAGCTTCTTTCTTTAAAAATAACATTCTCCTTACACTCCTAAATTCTGATCTGCCAAATGCTACAGCTAATGAGCTCTCTCCAACTAAATACTGTGAGGAGAACACATAAATACTGAAGCACCCTAATCAGCCTCGTGGTGCAAATTAATTGTTCATTATGGGTAACAATAACTATTTACTAAAGTTTTTATTCTGCGTTTTTTATTTCTGTAAGTAGTGTATGTGATTTCATTGGCTGGCTATTTTAAACCTTAGGGGACCATTGATGGAACAGTACAAATCCCTCTGAAATCAAAAATTGCTGGTTGCAACTACAGTCTGATCTTCTCTATGGACTATAAATGCTTCACTACTTCAATTTTGCTTGGCTTTTATATCACTATGTTACAATTACTGAGCAATGGCAAAGGATAGATTCAGTAATGAAGTCCGAACAGTAAAGCAATATTGTCCAAATTGAAACATTCTCACTATTTCAATATAATATTAATCAGTGTGTATCCACTGATACATGATATTTAGATAAGGCCCTGGTAAGACATGTAACCTCCCGTCTGGTGCTGAAATGTCGGTAGCTTATTGTGTACTAGAGGTGAGGAAACAAGTTTTCTCCTCATATTTCTTGATTGCTTTTAACTACCTAAAAGGATGAGATACTACTGTAAATGCTAGTAATTAGAAAGTCAAGCTGGCCACTATATATTATGCCAGAGAAGGCTTGTGAAACTCTACCAATTTCAGTTCTGTTACACTGGTATGAAAGGGGAATGAAGCAGCAGTGGCTCAGCTATTTTTTGAGTTAGTACGTACACTTTTTAAATTATTTGAACCATTCATTATTGTCCTTATGTAAGTCCTAGCTATATTAGAAGACAAGATCAAGCTGCATTAGTCAGACTGCGAATGAGCACAGATAACAGGACAAGTGCATTTGGGAAAACAAACAATGCCATTATGAGAATATGGGGCTTAGACAGAAAGGGTTCTAGGTATTGCCAAAATTAGTTTTCCTTGTTAACAAGAGACAGTGCAGAAAATTCTTTGATGGGGAAAAAGCATTACTTGTGAGAGGTGAGATGTAAAATATTTATAACACAAATCACCTGGGGCACAGAGTGAGCTGTGCAGAGTCAATGTTTGCAAATGACACTATTATTTACCTTCATCAGACAGAGCTGCAAAACTTTTGAAAGACTAAGCTAACACAGGCACACGGGCAGCACAGTGGAAACACGGTTCAAGGTCACTGCGAGGTCAAGCAGCGCAGAGTAAGATACACTGAGGGACAAAAACTCAGCTCCTCACACACTTCAAAGGGCTCAAAATTAATCATAGAAGGTGAGGTGTGGAACCCTGCTGTCATGCACTGCGCTGCTCTTTGGGACCCCAAGCTCCCTGCACCAGCTACAGTCTAACAAGGTTTTAAGCTGAATGAAGAGCAGGTTGTAGAATAACAACTATGGTACCATCAACAGTGCAGCACCATCTAGCATCCTGCAGGCATAACTGCTCAGGCCCTTTCAGCAAGAACGCTGCAGAATTAAACAGGTTTTGGAGAAGGGTAAACGTGGTTAGGCACAAGGAAAAACCTTCAAAGATGGTTTGGAAAGATGCGGCTAGTTTATCCCAAAAAGGAGATAACTGAGACAGGCTGTGACAGAAGTGGGTAAAATAATGAATGAGGTATTTATTACGAGCTCCTGTTCTTCCTGTCTCCATAACATGGTAGCATCACTGCCCTCCCACCCTCACCCCCAGAAAAAACCCAAACCCCCAATGGCTAACTGGTCTTCTCCTTGTGCTCCTCTCACAGTCACACTGGAGCGCAACTATAAGCATTCATCAGCTCTGCCAGTCCTACCAAGCTGATAACATAGCAGTATTAAATTGACTGCAGAAATTATGGATAGACCTTCCCACATGGCCTCAGTTTACTAATTCTCGACAGAAATCTTCCATGTTTAATAGCCACCCTCTATACCCCATGCAATACAGAAAAATAGAACAGTTAGTTGGTGGATTACATTGTTATGAAGAGGAAAGAGTCTAGGCAGGGGGAATCAGCCCAGGCTTGACCCAACAAAAACAGGTCCTGAAGGACATGACTATTTTGGAACAGGAAAAGGCTCAGCCACTCAATGGAGACACAGTCAGGAGGGAAGGTCACTCCTCTGTCCTTTGGCCAAGCCAACGGCCTGTCAAATAGCACACCTGCAGCTACAATCCAAAAGGTTATTGAAGCTGAACTTTTCCCAAGGGTGCACTGGAAACAACTAAATGCATATAAGTCATTCTGGTATTCCCATAGCCAAAAAATCTCCTAATGAAAAGGGGCTTCTGTACAGGAAATCATATTGGAGCAGAAGTAATGTCTAGAGTCTGGGTTTTTTTCCATGGCTTTTCCTAAACTGGACATTGTGAGCGAAGTCACCCTAAACTTTCATAGGCCAAAGATAAAAGCTATAGCTGTGCCCCACCACATATTTTTAACAAGGAGATTTAGGAAAATGTTTCTCTCTTACCTTGTTAACTTTGTCCCAATCTGCTGCCTGAGTTCGAGTCTCTCTTCATCAGTCTGCATGGGGAGGATGTTCTTTTCCTCTAGCTCTCGTTTGGACGGCCTGTTGCTCAGTTTGATTGCTAAAGAGTCCTTCCTGCAGACTTTCATTGCCAGGGAACCTGCGGGAGAAAGGAGACGCTCTGCCAAAGAAGGTGTCATCATTTCACTACAGCATGTGGCAGGCAAGGCAGTACTGGCCAGGGGAGGATACTAGGCTCTCACTCCAGTATGACCTGTGGGACAGTTAACTTCAGCTGTTCAATAAACCTCAATTCCTATCATAATAAGGAAAGGCTGAATTTGGTATACAGGATTAAGAAACAAAAAAATTGCTTCATGGAAAGGACTGGAGAAGAAGGGCTTGTTTCATAATCGCTACCAGCATCTGTAGTTTTCTCCAGTATGGTGCATCTGTTCCACACGGCGGGATGAATAATTCAGCCATAGAATCTGAGTGGGTAGCAGGGCCTACCACACATGTGGAAAGAGAGGGGTCTCCTCTCTCTTGCAACGTAACATCAAGACCGCCGAATTAGCAGTAAAAGGAACCAAATGTCTGTATGAGGAAGCAGCATAGATTTCTATGTACATTAACTGACACTGCTTCTTAGGCAGTAACAGTGGCAAAGACAGTGTGAAAACCAGTGGCATTTTGTGGCTCATGCTTGCTTTCCTTGGTCTGCAATCGCAGCCCTTTGGGCAGGGTAGAGAGGAACAAGCAGAGAGAAACACAAACCCATGAGAGGTTTTGGGCTTCGGTAGGAGAATGCAAGATAGTGCTGCTCTGCTCCTTAGTTTAAGAGCAAACACTGCCTAATTTCACTTGCAGGGAAAGGGAAGATTTTGAGGCAACGAAATATGCCTGTTTATTGTTCTAGAAACCTGTCTGTGTGCGTTTTAAAAAGGCTCTTGGTTGACTGTACTGCTCCCAGGTTTCAAAAGAAAAGAAATCCAAGGGCCTGAACCTTCTAGACCTGCAGGATGACAAATAGTTGTATACAGAGAGTCTTGTCTTCATGAGAGAGTCTTAAGATGTCAAAACAAGGCAGGAGATGGGTTTTCTGAGAGAGGTCAGAACGGGCCAGAGGTCCCTTCAGACTGTAATTGCAAAAGGGCTATCAATTAACCTCTTCTCCTCAGCTTGATGTGGTCCATAGTAGTGACAATTTGGGCTCAGATATGAAGAACAAAACCCTAGTATCTAAGCACAGACCAATTTACTCTCACCTGCATGCTCAGGGAGTTTATAAAATAAAAACTAGCAGAGTGGGCAGCAGTCCTGAGCAGAATTGTGTGCCTGCATATTGATCTCGTTTGATTTCATCTGCATAACGCTCTCTACCATTGTAATCTAAATTGTATGCTACAGGCTCTTTTAAACACATGGTATCTTCCCGCTAGATGTACTATAAAGAATAAAAATGAAATTCTCTTCCTCTTTTTATTCAGTTTTCCTTGTGCAGAAATTTCAAGGCTATTTTTTGTCTGTTCTTTACTCTGGCAAATCTTTATCAGCATAAATTGGGAATTTAAGGAAGGTTGTATTAAAAAGTTGAGGAAGTTCTTGAACTTTGACCACAGCATCTGAGATTGTAGTTCCAAAGTTGCTGAGTGCTGGTTTAACTTTGATACCATTGAAATCAAAGGGAAGATCTCCCTGTCCTCAGTGGCAATACAAGCCAGTGCTGGGTGATTTTCAAAATCCAGCTTAAAAAAAAGGGGAGGAAAACAAGACTACATTTAGGGGTTTATTTCACTGACCATGACCCATTTCAAAGCATGTGCATGCTTATGCTTTCGATATGATTTAATACTTACTATTTGTAAAAGGTCTGATTCTCTGCTATCAGCACCTATTTCAACTCTACTGAGCTGACGCCGATTAAAGCCAAAGGAAGGACTTGTCTACACCAGAGACACTCAGGAAAGCAAATCCATAAGTCAGCTGTGTTTGGAAGCTAAATAAATGGCATTTATTGTCTGCATGAGAGCCACCCACACAGGGACTGATATGGATTAGGAAAATCACTTTAAATTCATACTACTGGTTATTTTGGATTAATTTACCAAGTGTTCCCATGCAGTCAAGCCTTGAGAGATGCAAAAGCATGGCCAGGAAAGAAAACCCAGAGGCTTTGCGTTTTCCTTTTGCACTGAGAGTTTAGAGGAAAAATTAAAAAAATGAAAGGGAAAAATGAAATGAGTCTTACTTGTAAATAATGAGCTATCCTCATCATCATCTTCCTCCTCTTCCACTTCCTGTCTTGTGTAAAGGCAGGAAGAATCTTCATAGTCAGGTTCATGAGGCACATTTTCTTTATTGTCATCGCATTCGATCACAACAGTTGGCACTTGTCTCATGTCTGGAAGGCCTCCAGGTCCTGTTTTTGTAACACTGTCACCTGCATGTAAACCAGAACTGTTGGGGAAGAAAAACAAATAAATAAACTACATGAAACAGCCCAGTGGAAGTCAGGGTTGCTTCTCTTGTTATATTTAGGAAAGTAGCGATCTTTCATCCCTTTTTGAAAAGAAACGAGGATAGAAGAATCTTCATGATCAGCAAGACATCGAATGGCTACGTTCAGTACACATTAGAATTAAGCTACCACACTTGTTAGGGAGAGGTAAAACTGCATATAGGCAAAAATACAGGCAGCCAGGACTGAGAACTAAAGATCTGCGGCAAATACAGCTTCAAGGCTTAATGGGGACCTCCACCATCCACTTAGGGTGACAAATGTCTTCAATCTGATATCTACGTGACCTCTCTATAGGCTTGCAGACTGCAGGAAGAAAATATTTGACTTGAATGCAGAAAAGGGAGTAAAAGAGT